TTAAATCTATGATTTGAAAATTTAATACAAGATTCCTTACAAGTTTTTCAATCTTTATCACAAAATAAATGTCCACCGAAAATTCAAATTAAATTTTTATGAGCGTTTGAATTATAACATTGAATATTATGTTGWGGCTAACTGCCTCGTACATGATAACTACAAAGGAGACATAGAATTAGATGCACAATAACATGGTAGTATACGAAAGGTTTTTAATGTTAAAATGTATAATGTAAATACAATTACGATATAGAACTTTCTAAATTGTTAAGTTTATTTAATTGTATAAAAGATGGTTTCACATTCTGGATATAAAAATGATTTAATTTACTTTTCATAGTTTTCCTAGTAGTTATAGTGGCCAAGTGACATGCATAGATTTAGAATTAAATAATATATTTTCAGTTTTCACTTAATAAGAGATATATGCCAATGAATACATTTAATRCTATTTAATAACATTATTAAAGAACTGAGTGTTATGCATGTTTTGCGGAACAAGTTGGTGGCCGCGTTTGTAGTCACTTGTGGAGGTGATTGAGTTTGAGTGGTGACAAAGTTCTTAAGCAACAAATAGAGAAGTTTTGGGCTTTCTCTAGTAAGCTGGTATGTCATGAATATATTTGTTAATATCAAATTGCATTCTACATATTATGATGTACCTATATTTGGTACGCCATCAATACGTTTGACCTACCTATGTTAAGTTAGACACCAAATGAGAGAAAGTTACATGTGATCGATGTAAAATCTAGTCGATTAGCCTTGGTGCGTATGTGTTTAAGATAAATAAATTAATACATAATGCGTTTTTGGATTCATAGGTTGTACAAAATACAAAATTGAAACTCTTATAAAGAAATATACGTTTTATCAGTAAAACAGTTAGGTACCTATGAAATTCAACAGTGTTACATATAGGTATTTTCAAAAGTTCGTACCGTATGTACATCACGATACATAACTTTAAACTAATAGTTACATAATTTATATACCTTTTTTATCAAACTTACAAAATAATATTTTATATTTTTATATATTTATTTTTGAAAATTGTTTGTAGTAAGTAATAAATCGTTTGTATTTTTGTTTTAATGGTTTTATATATAAACAATATTCTCGTTCAACATTGTTTTACCATTCGATCGAATCCTATAAGCGATTTATAAGGGTATCAAGAGGGTCCCCAAGGGCCACCGAAAAATGCTCTAGAGCCAAAAAAAGGGGGGAGTAGAGAGGAATGGTGGTGCTTTGCAGTTTGATCTATATGATTGTCCTTCCGTTAATTTTATCCCCGCCCAAACGGTATTCTCTTGGGTCTATTCGAGCACAACACCTATATTGAACTTATTTCTCTTTTATGCGCTTCGTGCCAATATTTGGTACATCCAAAGGCAATTTATATCTTTACGAAAATTATTAAACTACCTACACAAATGAAAGCATCAATCGAAGGTCAAGAATTAAGTCTCAATGGTTTTTATACTACTAGTGGATAAATCAATTATGTTGAGCAGGGAGTTTTAGAAAGTAATTATTAGAGTATCTTTTAATTAACTTACTTATTATATAATACGAGTAGTTGAGAGTTATTATTAATATAATTKTATTTATAACTCTTATACATTGATGATGAGATTATGTTTACTATCGATTACAGTTAATGGTATTTTTGTCGAAGATCTATAAATTAAATTGTATCATATGTTAATTAATAATTATAATTAATTTTTTGCACACCAAACATATCTAATAAACGCTGCCCATTGTACGGTGTTAATCCCTCATATAATCATATCTTCTATAAATCTTACCACAGTCCGCCCATATTTTTCATTGAGAGCCAAGGAGATCATTTTATAATTTAATTTATTTTATATAAATGTATTGTTTACATAATATCAATTAATATAATATATAAAATAAATTATACTTTTACATACATATTAATATAGTTGATTTGTTGTTGTTTCTGTTTAGGAATCGAATAAACGCTGCAATCGTACAATTGACTGATAGCGGTGAACTTACAAGGCTGGAAAACAAATGGTGGATTGATGAGTGCAGTTACGAGGCAAAGGTGAGAAATAAAGAACCATACTTACATGCTATTTATAAAATAAATAAATATTATAATTTAAATTATTTTTTGAAACTAWTTTTCAATGATAAATTTATTTCTTCGGTTCATTTTTATTGACATAGGTRAAAATATTGTACCTATTTTATGTGATAAATATAAATTATTAAATATAAAAAAAAAAAAAATAATAAATATCATTGGTTAAAATTAATAATATTATATTCATAAGTTTCATAAATTATATTGTATAAAACTGTTTATTTATTAAAATTTATCCTAATAATAAATTCTAAATTCTAAATTGTATACAAACTTGTAATAACATGTAAAATGTTGACACATTTTAAATATAATTTAAAATTTATTAAAATTAATATGGACATGTGGTATTTCGTTAAAGAGTCTTTAGATTAACATTGAATTACTACAATATTACATTTAATTGTTATTGCAAGATATTTAATAAAAATATTCACGATTTTTCTTGTTAATTGATAATTTATTAATGTACCCTATTCGTTAAAGAGTCTTTAGATTAACATTGAATTACTACAATATTACATTTAATTGTTATTGCAAGATATTTAATAAAAATATTCACGATTTTTCTTGTTAATTGATAATTTCTTTACATGAGGATATTTCRTCGGTTGTTCATTTTATTTTTTTCCTAAACTTATAAGTTAAACAAATCACTCTCAACGAATAGGGTACATTAATAAATTACTCATATTATGTAACGCAATGTTGACTGACTATTATAGTTAAATACATGGTAATTGGTAGGTATATGATTTTTTGGTTTTAGTAAGGTAATGATAGAAATCTCAATTTTGGGGRATAGAAATAATGTATAAATAAAACAATCCGAAAGTCATTTATTTTTTTTGAAAAGAAAAATACGTCGAGGGTTGGCCACTTAAAGACCGTTTTGAACAAAAACGGTAGTTGAATTTTTAAAACTTTACTTTCAGTCCATTTGCTTGTTCGCAGTTTTACATTACTAGCAAACCCACAAACAAAATAAAAGAAAGAAAAAATAGGTTATAGCAGCAATTTATGTCCTTTTTATTTTGAACTTGGTGCAGGAGTGCGATGGTAAACTTTTCTCGCGTCTCTCTGTCCTTGTTGTGCATCATAAAACACGAAATATCACTGAATTTTATTAAAAAAGTCAAAAATTGCTAACGTTCTACATAACGCACGTTTTTATTCCCGTAGGAGTCTTTCCGCAATGCCGAGCTCACGTTAAACAACATTGCTGGTATATTTTACATACTAGTATTGGGACTCATCGTGGCTATTGCCGTGGCATTGTTCCAGTTCTGCTACCGGACACATTCGGATCAAGCCAACTCAAAGGTAATCCGATCATTAAAATATATTTTTTTATATTATTATGTTTTATAAATAATGCGATATTGTTAGTGTAGGTATGCATAATTTTGAGTCAAGTGTCAGTAGTCGAGTGCTCTCTATAATTCTATTGGTGTTATATGCTCACGTTAGGCATCGTTTTCGGGTATGGATGTTTTTGACATTTTCAAATATAATATTAGAGTCCTGAATAAATATACCATTTTTAATGGTAGGCGATATTTTATTTGATTGTATAGGTTATATTTAGTTTTAAAAAAAAAACCTGTTCATAAAAACCTAAGAGGTCAGCATTAATGAAATACACAATAAATATTAGTACATTACTATACATTTATAGTCAACTCTTGTTGGAAACAAGATGTTAAAGAACAATGGAAAAAATTAGTTATTAAGATTTTATGACGATTTTACGCGTGGTCTCACAGCAAAAGACGTGAATGATTTTTATACATTTAATTTTGGGTAACATGGTAATTTTTGTTTATTTTTTACTCATCATAGCTTGTTCAATTCAAGTTATAAATTTATAATGTATAGTTACGAAAAATGGTTTATAATTAATAATTTAATTTATCTTTGTAAATATTATTAATGTATAAAAGTAAATTAAATTGTTA